AGAGGGAGGGGAGAGGAGGGCATTTCAAAAGCCCTGAAGCCATCCCTCAGGGGTGCAACACATTGGGCTGAAGCATAAGGCCAGCCGGAACCTAACCTCAGGTGTGCTAATAAGCACTGCCTCTAACATGTGACACAGCACTTACTCTGAAGGACAAAATACTGGCCTGACAAGGAAGAAAAGGCTAAAGCGCCAAGTATCCAGGAGGTGAGGGTGAGAGAGAGAAAAAAGGAAGGATAATAAAAAAAGAATAGGTGGAAAGCAGCAGCGATGACCTAGAAGGCCTCATGAGAAAAGCAGGAGGAAGGAAAATAAAACATCCGGAGGCCAGGAACCCAGGCGGAAAAGGTCAGAGGACAGTGGGAAAACCTCAGGGGAGCAGGTACAGGCCAAAGCATAAGGTCATGGCTGCCAGGGAGGTGGAGAGCATGACGCTGGTACACAGTATAGTACGTTTGATGATAAAAATTAAGAAAAACATTGTTTTATGTTAGGGTGACCAACTGCCCCGGTTTGGACTGACTCAGCTTTAGCATTAAAATTTCTGAATCCCAGGAAATTCCTCAGTCCCGGGTAAACCAGGACCATTGGTCACCCTAGTTGTTGTAAGGATTAGAGTTAATAAATGTAGAAGCTATTAGAAATAGTGTCTGGCATATAATAAGCACCATATGTAAGTGTTTGCTATGGTTCTATTTGAATGCCAATGAAAATGTATTATGGCTGTGAAAATGGAATGAGACTTAACTGGTATTCCTGATTCAGTTTTGCACCATTCATGAGACTGGAGAGTGAAGTGGTCTCCGGTAAAGCAGCACTATCTACAGGATCATCACAGATCACAGGACCTCCTTGTGCAATCAAGCACAGAACAGTTGGAACTGCTCCAGTCGGTGGAAATGGGATTTCACTAGGCACAGGCCGCATGGGGTGGGGCAGGGAAACCAGGGCTCTCTACAGGACAGGACCAGTGGTGTCAAGGAAGCAGTACACACCATTCCAGCCTCCCCCCACCCAACACGAGATATTCCTGAGCCAGGATGCCACCTTAGAATTTTTCATGTTACATGCTCCACGCAGCACTACCAACTTATCAGGGCTGGCATCCAAGAGAAAACCTATCTGCCCTCCCTGGACAAGCTCTGCCAGCTCTGGGGTCTGGGATTCTTCAAGGGTACCATTAGAGGGGAGACGCAGAGAAGGAAGCTTCGATTAGAACAAGGCTACCCTGTGGGCATGTGGTGCCATCATAGGAGCTCCCTGAGGCAGAGAGCCCAACACAAGCCCCTTGCTAGATCTGTGATCCAAAACCAAAGCCTTCCAGGGTCAAGAGTGCCAGTCCATAGTAACCTGAGCCCCAGGGTGTCACAGGAAATGTAAGTGATGTGCAGGGAAAGAGGGGCAACCATCAGCAGTGGTAAATAGAAGCACTGGGAATTTAAAACTTACCTTTATCACATGCCTTCCAAAAGAAAATCCTGTAAATATTTTACTTTTTCTTAAAATCAGCCTGGTAAAATTATTGAAATAACTTAGGAAAAGTGCATAATTTAGAGAAATAAAATTTAGTTGTGCTAAAATTACTACTTCAGTTTTTCCAAAACATGCATAAATACTTCAGTCAAAATTGTGCTCATTTCCCCCACCCGGTATACCCTTTACCCTTTTTTGCTCCTGTAGATATTGATCCCATGCAAATTCTTGAAGAGGAACTATTATAGGATCTTCAAATCGGGATGAAAAATTATGCTTCAGACTCTAGGTTTCAAAATAGAACAACTAGTTTAAAGTAAGTTCTTTTTTAAAGTAGTAATTATTTCTCCCAGTTTTTATGGGGTCCCCAAGAAATTTTATGCAACGCATACCCAGGCTGCTCTGTCCGGCTTAAATGCCCCCTCCCAGCCACCCAGAACCCCTGTGTTCACTTCCATTAAGTCACTCCCCAGTCCAGGCAGGGGCTCTGTCTTATTTGTCTCTTTGAGGGCAAAGACTATGTCTGAGATTTCGCGTATTTCCACTGGCCTCCACATCCGGCACACAGTGGATCGTTCACACATAGCAACTGAACAAACGAACAAATAAACAAGTTTGTACAATAGTTTTGTGATCTGCCATGTTCTTTTAGGATGTTTTCTTAAATTAAACTCTTATTAAGCCTCACCGGATCTATGGATACTCTTTTATTTTTTAATATATCTTTATTGATTTTAGAGAGAGGAAGGAGACAGAGAGAGACAGAAATATCCATGATGAGAGAGTCATTGATCCCTGCCTCCTGCAAGCCCCCCACTGGGGATCGAGCCCAGAACCTGGGCATGTGTCCTGACCGGGAATCGAACCCTTGACCTCTTGGTTCACGGGTGGACGCTCAACCACTGTGCAACACCAGCCAGGCACGTTTAGGTTTAGATATTGAGCATGTTTTAGTTTAACATATATTATTGTGTCTATATGAATCAGAGAAAATTCTTACTGGTTAACAATCCCTGTCAAAAATAAAAAGTTTTGGTTCCTAATATGCCATACTTTCCCTCCTCCTAAAGCAAGAGAAGGTAGTTGAGGCAATAACAATTAGGCCTCGTTTTTCTGAGTGGGTCTGAGGAGTAGATGGGCCAACAGGGGAAAGTGACAGCTGGCCTCTCCCGCCGCGGTCTAAGAGGGCACCGACCTGGCACATTTCATCAAGGGTGATATTTCATGAGGGAGAAAAAAAGGATGTGAGTGCATCTTGCCTTGGGACAAGGGACAGCAGAAGGCAACAGCAACCTGGCCATTTCCTTCTTACTACTGTCCCCCACCAATTGATGATGTGTGCTTTTTACTCAATTCCAGCGTCTGTGCTCAGTCTGAGGCAATTGTGCAGAATGACTGTTTTGAATTGAGGGACCACCTGGAATAACTAATAAGCCCAACAGTTTTCAAATTAAACATACTTAACCATGCTTTCGTCATAATTTAGTGTTTGTTCTAGAATGGACTATATCCAAATTAGTATATATGTAATACTTTTTACAAATCTGAATCTTTGTCAGTTAATTAGGCATCTGGGATTGCTCACATATAATCATGTTGGGCTTATTTTCATGATCCTTTATTAAGATAGAACTAACTTTATTAAGATAGAACTAATTTACATTGATGTTTTCATATTCAAATAGAGCTACAGTAGGCAAAAGCTTAGGAAAGGGAAATTATCATTACTAATACAATAAATGTTAGATGGGCCAGGTACAGAAACCCAGGTAGGGAGACTCACCAGGGAAGGAAGTCTCGGATGCCTAGCAAGGGATGAAACTGTGGAAATAAGAACCTTGTCCCCAGGGTAACCTACCCTCCCCTAGCATATCACTGGTCATGAGTTTTAGACTCCCTGAGCGTTCCTCCCTAAAAATAGGCCTCAGTTGTATTTCAGCTCCAGGCCCAGAAAAGCAGGGAAACCAGACAAGTGGAACCATGGCTACCTCAGGACCACATATACTGACTAATGCCTCCCTGCTCTGGCACCCACCAATCAGTGGAGGCCATGACTCTGAAAGAGGACCCTTGGAAAGCTGATGAATATTCTACTGAGACCTTCCCTTAAGATTCCCACCTGCAAATTAAGAGATAAATACACTCAGGACAAAGGACCCAGTGCACCTCCCCCCATTCAGGGGACCCCACAAGACTTGCAACCAGGGGAGCAATGGGCAGCAGCAGCATTTCCCCCGCTTACCCCCTGAGCCTGTCTCCAAGGCCCTCTTCTCTCTCTGACTTCTCAGTGAGCCAAAGCAGCCCAGCCTAGGCTCTCCCATTGCTTCTTCTATGCTCTTCCTTGTTTCACTGTCCCAAGTATATTTTTGCTGCCATCATGGGCCCACTACCCTTTGGCTCAGTGCTGTGTAGCCCTTCCCTTTGGATATCCTCATCCTCTTTTAATAAATTTAATTTTTCTTTATTCACCTGTCTGAGATGGCTATATAGCCAGCCATGCACCACCGACCCTTAACCTTTCAATAAAGGNTATAGCCAGTCATACACCACCGACCCTTAACCTTTCAATAAAGGCACTGTTTTCTTAACTTAGTGTGCTCTACAACAGAGAATGGCAAACTGTGGTCAGCATGCCACATCAAAAAATCAAAAGAATCGTATTTCATGTCATGTGAAATTATACGCAAGTCAAATTTCAGTGTGCATAATAGTTTTATTGGAAAACCACTATTCATTTATATACTGTCTGTGGCTGCTTTTGCACCACAAGGACAGAGCTGAGTAGTGGCCATTGACAACCTATGGCCACGAGAGCCTAATAATTTAATATCTGGACTTTACACAAAAACATTGCCAACACCTTAACTACAGTGTGGAGCAGGCACAGAAAACATGTGCCTTCAGAAAAGGAGTTAAGAAAAACAACGGGGAAAAATCCCTCTAGCACATGAAGTACAACTTAGGCCATAAAAACTATGCTGAAACCATCAGCCCAGTTAACACAAACCCTTAATTTCTACTTCTTTTCATGATCCATACATCATTTCCACAGACTTCTGATCACCTATTCCTTCATTTTGATGTAAACTTTACCTATTTCACAAATTAGTTACTACTTCCTGATTTGATATAATTACAGACTTTAATTCTGTGAACTTGGAATAGGCAAGATAGGAATTTAAGATTTCTTCTGCTTGGGGACATTTTGTGTCAAGTATCCAGCTTAGTACTTTGGGAGACAGAAACATGAATAAGGTATTGTCCTAGAGTCTAAGTGGGAAGGAGAGAAGCTCCGCATAACCTTAGGGCAGCATTTCTGGAGCAAACCTCAAAGACGTGCTTAATTCTACATTTCAACATTTCACACATTGCTGCATTTCCCCTGCATTGGGGTTATGGACGTGCTGCAACATTACTGAGCTGGCCACATTCTTCCAATTAGGTTGTTTTTCTATCTAGATCATTCTGTGTGTTTACAAAGAAGTGTCTGTACTCTCCAAAGCACCTGATGGTCCGTCATTTATTAAGAAATCACCTCAAGCACCTAATTCTATTGGAATGCAGTGACTGTTATAGAAACTTAAATTCAATTTAAAAAAACCTTTCTGAATGGTTTTCAAAAATCACTTGGAGAGTTTGTAAAAAAGTATATACATACATATATATATATATATCATGCAGAGCCGGGCATGGCTCAGTGGTTGAGCATCGACCTAGGATCCAGGAGATCAGGGTTGGATTCTGGATCAGGGCACATGCCTGGGTTGAGGGTTCGATCCCCAGCAGGGGGCGTGCAGGAGGCAGCCGATCAATGACTCTCATCATTGATGTTTCAACTCTCTCCCTCTCCCTTCCTCTCTCTGAAATCAATAAAAGTTTAAAAAAATATCAGCTATCTATATAACTCTTTTCCCTAAACATTTTTCATGAATTTTTAAAATCCGTAATTTCAGTTAAAATTTTATGTGAAATAAAATGTAAGAATATGCAGAGAGAAGGAACTACCTTTATTCCCAGCACGGTTCTGAACGCGCCCTCCGCTCGGAAGGCCCTTTAAAGGCACCCGGCCTGGCAGTGGAATGCCCGCCCCCAGCCCGCACTTTTTCTCCACGCGCTCAGATCCAACCAGACTGGCCCCATTCGGCCGGGACATTCCCCGCCCGGAACATCGACCGCCCCCCACCACCGGGAGGGCGGGAGGAGAAGCGGGAAGGGCCCCCGCACTGGTGGTTTCTTCGCCGTTACCTCTGCCGTGCTCTTCGCAATCTGAAAGCCGGAGCTTTTGAAGAGCCCCACCACCTTCACCTGCAGCGGCTGCGCGGGCGGCGACAGC